CGGTTTTAACCCCCCTCAGGACCCACCTCTGCTACTCGGTGTAATGGATGACATAGCCGAGTGGAAGCGCAGAGTGGCTCATATATCTGTCACTCAGCCCCGTGTGTTTTACTATTGAATTGCTGGGTTGCTATGAGCTGCGGTTGTAAACACGTTAGAAATGCAACAGGAGACAAGTCAGCCATGACACGCCTCACAACCACAAATTAGGCATGAGTAAGATAACTTGACCGGTGGTGAATTCACCTTGCTGTTTTGGAGATGAGCCACATTTTTATTTATGTTTTGGGGAGGTTTCTGAATGGCACATTTGTGAATACGGTCCTTGTGTGTTTTGAAACAACCACGTCAGGCAACGTGCAGCTTCCACCACCTGTTAGCCTTTAAAGCACATGTCTGTTGTGCTGACCTTGAGGAATGAACCTTCTGTCTTGCACATTAAAAATATACCCATGTCATTCAAGTATAAATGCCAAAATACTGTCCGGATGTACGACTGTATCCTAACTTCACTGTGTTGACTTTGATTGTCAGGAACCAAGCGGGTCCCCGGTTCCAAAGAGAGCCAGAGGACGACCAAAGGGCAGCAAAAACAAGGCAACCGGCAAGAGCAAAGTAAGTTGGTGCAGTCGTGTTTTCACATGGTGCCAAAGCCCGATTGCAGCAGCAGTTAGCTTGCATCCTGAACCGGAATGACAGCAATGCCAAGAAAGACAGACACGTCCTCGTGATGACGCTGCACGCAGCGTTCGTCCTGACATCTCAAGCAAGCGCTTCCTTTTTCGAAAGCCCCCCCCCCTCCCCTTTCTCGATTCATACTGGTTGATGAACATTTTAACGGTAGCTAACCTCATCCTCTTTAAAGGATGTCCTGCTGTTACTCATGATATATTTGTTGGCTGCAATTTAGCTGCTTCCCCCTCCTCCTCCTCCTGCTCCTGCTCCTCCTCTCCTGGTGTCAGAAATAGCCTGGCTAGGGTTTCCCATTGTAAAGACCTTGGTTTACTGCCTCACTTTTTTTTTTTTTTTTTGAGTGATGCTCACCCTGTACTTCCTGTCCTCCAGCTTCCTGCAGCTTGTCATGCACAGTGCGGTGCAGGTGCAGAGGCCGCAAGACTGTTTCCAAGCTGACACTAAGCACCCCTCCGCCCCCACCCAGCACACAGCCCTAGTTCTTCTCTGCCTGTCGTCTCCATAGCAACAACTGATTTTCTCCCTCGCCCCAACCCTCCAGCTCCCCCGTGTGCTCTGTCTTCGCTGCTATGTATGGGAAAGAGAGAGAGGGAGACGGAGAGACGAGGGGAGAGGAAGACAGCGCATACATGTATTGATATAGGTTTTAGCAGCGAGGGCCCGAGCTGCAGAGGGTTTGTGTCTCCGCTCAGTTTCACCAGCTGTCTCTGAGCCTCAGACCAGGTGGCCAGCGAACTGGAGTGCCCTGTGTGCAGTTCCTGTCGGCCTTCCAGATAATGGCCAATGAACCCAATGCCCCCTTTTTATCCGTCCCATTGCAAAGGTACCACCGCCATCTGCAGGCTGCTAGAGGAAAAGCTCTGAGGAAATATAGGTTGTTTATACCATAGGTTTTTTTTTTTCTCCCCCCCCCACCTTCCCTCTCCTCCCCTCTCCTCGCTGATCCCACCCACCACCCCCAGCTGAAATTCTTTGCTTTAGCCGAGCAGGTCAGCAGGTCACTAACCTTGAAGATCACTACAAAATGTCGGGGCCCGCTTGCAGCTCTGTTGACCTTGCGCTGTTTTTTTTCTTTCCCAGAAGGCAACAGCAGCCCCATCTGCAGGGGGAAAACGTAGGGGAAGACCGAAGAAGGAGGTAAGATTCTCCCAGACAAGACACTGTCACACCACTGCTCGCATTTGTGCAACCATTCCTTTTCCAATTGAATTATGATTGGTATGACTGTCTGCAGGGTGAAATTGCATTTTCCTAATTCCCCCTTGCCTGCCTCTTTCCTCTCAGACGAGTCTTTTTCACTCATCAGCTATTTTGGTTCATTCAGAGCAACTGCTTGGTCACTCAAAAATCTTTTTTTTTTTTTTTTTTACCCGGTTGTGTTTAAAATTTCTTCCAGAGGAGTGTTCTTAAACCAAATGTTGACAGCAGGATTTTTCTCTTCCCCCCTTCTCTCTTACTCTTTCTGTAAAATGAGTTGCCAGACTATATACACTCGGTCAAAAAAGCATGTGTTTAATCTAGGAAGAAACTGCGGTCTTGTAGTAACATTTGTCATGTGCATGAGTGGTTAGGGCGTACTCTGAACGAAGCCTGGATTGCATTAGTCACAGAAAGGAATGACCCAAAGTTACCCTCCTAACTAGCCCCTCTCGTTTTTATGAATGAACATCTTGGGCAGTAGTGAATGTGAGGAGGAAAGGCAAGGGAGCAAAAAAAAAAAAAAGAAAGCAGGATGCCTCATTGTGACTCACCGCCGTTATGAATCACTTTTCACTACGGATGGCTCACCCTTCCCCTGGGTGTTCTTCATGCCACTGTGGTTTATCAAAGAGATTTATAATAACATCGATATTTTTTTTCATGTTGGTACTCGGGGGTTATTAAAAGTAAAAAGTCATGTCGCGGCATGAATCACAGGCGGCTATTGTAGGTGAACAGTGATGGCGTTTCAGAGGCATTTTCCTAATGGGTGTAGTCGAAGCCTGACTTTTTTTTTGTTTTTTTTTTTCCCTGTCGCAGGAGAAGGAGGAGAAGGCGTCCCAGGAATCATCTGAGGAGGAAGAAGAAGAGGACCAGTAATTCACAACGCATGCTACCTCACTCAACATACTGACTTACTGTTAACCAGAACTGGGCTGTATCTCCAACACCGGTGCCACCACATGACCACTGTTCACGACAAAGCCCCCCCTTTGCCAAAGGCGGGTTAACACAGTACATATATCATGCAACAGCACTGGATAGAACGATGGACTTTGCTCAAGCATAGATCTAAGAATTACATGAAAGGTAACAGCCCTTTTCTCTACATGTCATGTTATCACGTCTTTTATACTGGACAAAAGGTGTGCTCCGAGGAGCCTGGACATTTCTGTTTTTTGTTCTCTCCCTCCCCTCTCTCTCTCTAAAGATGGTTTGTAGGACATTTTCCTCTGCTTATTGTTACTTATTTGTTGTACCCGCATCTGAGATGGTAGGGCATATAGATTTTTCTCCATGTTTTGTACTGGACAAAGGTGAATTTTACCTATACTTGCTGTTTTTTTTTTTGTTTGTTTGTTTTTGTTTTTTGTGTGTTCGTGTGAAGTGGTTAGCCTATCCTTTGCCTTGTATTCTAGATGGAGTTGAGCTTCAGCGTTTAGGATGAGAATAGGTGACTGATGGTAGTTTTGTTTTTTTGTTTTTTTTCCCATGTCTGATCCACGTAACTGATTTCGCCCCCCCTCTTTTTATTAGAGCAGAACCATCTTTTTACCCCCCCCTCCTTCTTTCCTGTAGGACAGTTTAGATTTAGTGACGCTTCTCAAACTTCCTTCTCAGTCCTCGGTGTGCAGTGGGGAGATGTAAAGTGTATCGTTAGTCATCAGGATAATCTGATCAGACTTACTGTTTTGTTCCTTCGGGTTACATACCATTTAAAGAAAAAAAAAAAACGTGTGTGCTGCTTTTCATGTTATAATAAAACTCAATTCTTTTTGGTATAATGTGTGTTTTTAAGGATAGGGTTGGCAGAGTTCTAGGCTGAAAGTCATCAGTGTCGTTTCTTCAGGGAGCTTTTACAAAATGCTGTTACATTGGCGTCTTTGTCTTCACATGGTCCTCAGTTTTCCAAGCGCTCACTCAATCACTCGTAAGGCAAACTGCAATTGGTCAAACAAGGAGTTTGATTGTAATAGAGGATAGTCGGTGGCACTACTATCCAACAGGGCTGTACGTTTTTTTTTTTTTTTTTTTTTTTTTCTTCCATTCCATCTAGCTCTCACTGCTTCACCTAGCTTGGTCCTTCTGTCATCACTTAGTACCGTAATAAAACTTTTCTTAGTCTTTCGAAGATGTGTGTTGTATGCTGTCTGCTACAAGGAGGAAAAAAAAAAGTTTGTGTATTTCTAAGTGTCAGGGAACCCGCGGTCACAGTCCACTTAACTGGGTTTTTCCACACACCTAAGCTGCTACAACCTCAGTTACGAAACCCGGAAAACTGCAAACAGGCAAGACAAGGCCTGGAATTTCATACCTCACTCAACAGCTTACTTTACCATATAATTGCATTTAACTGGTTTTTCTGTTGTTTTTAAATGTAACCTCTGGCATGAGTTGGAACGATGTCGTTATTACAAAGTTTGTATTTTTTTTTTCTTTTCTTTTTTAACCTGACTGTAATAAGGTATCTAAGATGTCAAGTGTGTGATTGTGTGCATACGCAACACGTCTTGGCTCGTTCATAACCAGAGCTTGCAGACAGGTTGTTTTTTTTTTTTTTTTTTTTAAACGTGTGAAGCAAGTCAGGGAGACCTGTCAGCTTGACGACTGTGTTCGCTGACTGTGGTAGATTAGCAGGTGTGTTTTTATCCTTTAAAAAAAATACTTCTGGTGCACTGAAATGTTGGTTCAGATTTTCATGGACAAATGTTTGTGTGTTTGTGATAGACTGGGCGCTCTTACCACTGTTCTGTTGGCCACCGTGTCTGGCACTACCACACACAGCCACCCCTCGCCATACTCATACAACGGTCATTTCATGTCTTTTTCAACCTCCTCCAACTACTCTCAACAATATCATGTCATTTTTTTCATAGCAACATCAAGCATCCGTTGATTTATATAATGTAAACTCAATAGGATGGGATCATTCTTTTTAATGTACACCGTATATAAATGTACAATGTCTATATTTCTATGGTGCCCTACAACAATTTGTATCAGAAATGGTCAATAAAGAGAATTTTCTTTGTCACTTGTGCCTCCATCGTTGCAAACTTTCTGCTAATTGTAATCATCCTTGTGATTGATAAGTACAGCACAAAGACAAAAGTTATATTACTTTATTTACATCTTCAGTGTCTCAATCAACAGCGTTGCCAAGTCTCTCTCAAAGCAACATGGTACAACAGTCTAAAAAGGAGAAACAGTGCTGCCAAAATTACATCAGTAGTTCTTTGACCTGTCAAGTGAAATCCGAGCCTTCCATGCAAAGTTCACCAGTGCAAATCTGATCAAACATGTGTACACTCTAAATTCTGAATGGCTCGTTTCATTGGGTTTTTTTCACATTAGAAAAAAAAAAAGCTAGATAACGCAGAGGAAACTACTGAGATGGAAATATGATCGGGGAGCACTGAGATGATTTCAGCTCCAGAAATGATCATGAAGCATTTACATAAAGGCCTTTACTCAAAGCACCTCTAGATGTCATACCAGATAACATCACAAGTTTGAGCATTAGCTGCTCTTTACAATACATTAACTGCTGAACTGAGTAATGTCCCCTTTTCAAGGACAGTTAAACAGTTCTATTGTTCTTAGTTTACATTCACACGCAAGGCAAATAAAGGCCAGGAACGGTTATAATTCTTTTAGAAAAAAAAAAAGGGTAAGGTTTCCTGAGTACTTGATACAGTCAGACCTATGGAATTCATCTGAACAGATTCTTCATCTGGAGGTAAATTTGCTGGTGCCATGCCTTGAAGACAGGACATATTTTGGGCACTAGTCACCACAATTTTAGGGATGAGAGGAGCCTGGTGTTATTTACTTCCATATCTGGCTTTTCATGCCACTGATAGGAGTCATAGGATTTGGCTAAACCACAAAAAGATGTGAATTGCAGGGCAGCTGCTTAAATTGAATAAGCAAATTAAAACCAAAGTGGGTTGTTCAACTTTTTGACTCAAAATGAACCGAGGCCTGATCTTGAGACCTAGTTTCACTTTATCTACGTGAGGCTTTGAGCTTAAAACTCTTTTGGAAGTGGTATTGCAGTGTTTCGTGTCAACACATGTGATTGTTGAGCACTAGAGGCATTTCATCAAAGAAAGCACAGCAAACAGCCTCGACACAGAAACCAATCTAAGCAATGCTCACAAGCTCTCTTACAGCAGAAGTGCTGATATTTAACTAGTGCACAACATTCATACTCTTACCACACTAAACACAGCCCCTATGTTACAGTCACTACAAATGCCTACTGCAACCCACAGGAACACAACTGCTTGCCACACGTCGCCCACAGCAACAATATGAATATAAACAACAGAGTAAACCTACAGGAACTTATGCCGTCCAACTTCCTGAACTCTGAGTCATACCACTGAATACCACAGTAAAAACATGTTTGAATAAATAATTTCAAATAAATAAGGTACTGCGTTTGTTAGGCACACAGAAGTGACATAAGGGCTTCACAAATGAACAGTCATATTGTATATTACACAGGAAATGGGAAAATGCTTATTGTTGCTGATGTAATCAGTGATAATGGCAAACAGGAGTAAAGAAAAACTAGAGCAGTATTGTGCATGACTTCAAAAATGACTGATCTGTGTGGCTGAAGGGTCGTCTTTGCACTGACATTGTATTCTACGACAGGGTTCACGAGCATCAAGCGTTGACGTCTTTGGTCAGAAGAGGGCGTCGCTGTTGATAACTTCTGGCCCAGCCTTGTACAATCTGCAGACATAAAATACAGTGTCAGAACGGGTTAGCTCAGTTTAAAAAGCATCTCCAGTTATACATGAAACCTATAAAAACACAAATTCTGTGTATCAAAGTTACATATCTATAAGTTATCTAAGAACATAATCCCTTCATGCCTTAAAATGGCTCAGATGTAACTACACCATTATCTCCTCTAGAATGCGTAGATCTACATCTCACTGTAGCTCAAGCACACCAGCTCACCTACGACTCTGTTCAAACGCTGTAAAACAGAATGCCAAGTTGTGATGTTGCAGGGTATTTAAGTGCAATATTGTTTCTCATAAGGATGTGTAATGCTGTGGACTAAGAATAAGATTATCTCTTTTACATCCAATGGTGTAAAGCCGTGACTCTTTGGTCTTATGTGACTGTGAGACTCCCGCATCTCAAGCTTCCACCACCGCCCCTGTACTATGTAGGTGAATGAAGTTTGATTTGTGTAAGAAAAAAAATTGAAATGTAAAAAGCAAGATGGGTTTCTAAAGCTGCATACTCTGTGAAGTATCCTCTCTAAAACAGGAGTTTTACAGTACAACTGAAATTTAAATAATTCTCCCTGTATTGAATTTACAGCAAAAACATATCACTAAAATTCAAGAGACAAATCCAAAGGTGTTTGCACAACTCCACAGGCGTAATGTTGTCTGATTTAGGTAAACTAACCCAGTAAGGACATATTTAAAGAATCTCCAGCATTGTTCAAATGTGTCCTCTTTCATATCAAATGAGGAGTAAAACTTTACTCAGAAACTTTATACATAGTGAACAATGCCACCTAGTGGTTCTCAGGACTCATTGCATGACTTTGTTTTAAGAATATTAGTGTCTTGGTTAAAAAAATATAGTGCACTGCATGGAATTGGTAAAAGAAAAGAATATATTGTGAGTGGTAAAACAAATGTTTATGAAGAAATCTGGAAACAAGTCCATATTTAAGATACAGTGATGCATCCTCTCACAAATTAAGAATATAATGGGACATTGGAAATGTCGGAGGAAAAGAGGAGGGAAGGTTGTTTTTCTCCTCACTTTAAAAAGCTTTTTAAAATACACAATGTAAAAAGGCATTTATTTGCTGGGGGGGAAACTACAATAAAGAAACTTACTGAGTCAGCCAGACCACTCATTTATTTTGTATAAGTGTCACCTGAAACCATAACATTCTTTCCAGCCAGATATTTAAAAACTTGCGTATTTGTACCACCAGAACTGTTAGAGGAACCTCTTTTGGTTCAGTCTAAATACTGATCCGAGGTAGTCGTTCTTTCTCATATAGACAAAGAAAGACTAAAAGATTTGACCTCTTAAGTGAAACCAAAAGTAGCCCCCATTTACTAGTTAAAGTTGCTGCTTTCAAAAGCAGCCTAAAGACTCATTTATTCTACTCTGCTTGTAAATAGGGCTCTGTTAGTATTTGATATATATTTTAATTATTTTACATTTTCAGATTTTCATTTTTTTAATCTTCAGCCTGTGAAGGACTTTGAGATGTCATCTGATTTTAAAGTGTGCTATACAAACAAAATGTATTTTTATATTAGTATTATTATTACTATTATTATTGAAGGGATTTGAAGCTTGTAAAGAAATTACTATTGCATCCTTTCTACTCTGCTAATAATATTTCTACTGTACTTCTTTCAGCTATGTTTTTCTGTGGAACAGGAAGTGCCAAACAAGTTGAGGAACTTCTGTGCTCTGAAGGCAAATGTCGCAACCAGCAACAAGCACAAAGTCTAAAATGACATAGTGACAAAACAAGTAACACTCCCTTTATGTTGAAAATGTTGTTCCTTCTACCAGTATATTTACTGCTTAGTCCAAGCCTCTACAATAATGTCATTACTGAAAGACATCTTCATACAAACTAAATACTATGACTGAAAAAATCTATATTTTCATCCAGTTTTGCAGGTTACAAGTGTAAGAGCATCTCAGAGAAAACTAAACTTCAAAAGCTGGATGAACAGTGGTGCACCTTACCCTTGTGTCCTCCTCTCTCCACAAGATTTCTTGTTCAGCTTCATTGAGCTCCTCTGAGGGATCATATGTGTAAACTGGCAACAGCTGATGACGAAGTCTGTCAACTCTGAAGGACCAAAAAATCCCTGATTTAATGAATCACACTGACACAGTGCCAAGAAATCTATATATGCAGTTTAGTCTTACCTCCTTTTCCTACGAATATACATAATCTGAAAAAAGAGAAAACGGAAAGTATTTCATTCGCTGTGCATTGGTAGATTGCTCGGGTCTTGCTTAATGCATTTAATGCTGACATAAGGTAATTGGGTATTTTCCAGTTAACTGCAGAACTTTCTGGTGTGACAGTATAAACTTTGTGTAGGTCATCTTATGCCAAACAGTGCAACTAACCACTTACCACAGCTGCAGCTATTCCAATAACGGTTATGAGGAGAAATGGCACCAACACATAGGCGACTGACACATCCCTATCTGTGGGAGGGGGCTCAGTCGTGCTGTTGTTCATCGTAAATGTTGAGGAAAGGGAGATCAAGGGGGGGAGCTGCTTGTGCAGGCTCTTTACAAGCAGCAGACCCCCTCCGTGCAGGAGACCCGGTGCAGCGGCTCACTCCTCAGTCTGCCCCCTTGTTGTTCGTGCCTCATCCTCGGCGCTCATGTGACTTCCACATGGTATCACTGCCCTCAGTAATCAGCGAGAAATCCGAAGGAACACAGAACGACAAGAATCAACACACAGTCACAAAGCTGTTAAGGAAGTTGTAAAATCACCCTGTAGCAGATAACTTATAATAAGTTGAAAGACATCCATCCAGGCTGCTGTGATAAACTGTCAAAACTGAGGTGATCACGTTCAAAGAGGCCAGTTCAACACATTAACAGTTCAAGTCTTGTTAGCAAGGCACTTTTTATAGCTGCAGATTTGCTAATATAATCCAGACATACCGTCTATGCTAGCTGCACGAGACACCAACACTAAAATATAACTTACCTGCCACGGTTTAAAGTCTAACTTTTCTATATGAACCCTCCCAACAGACAAACAGCTGATGAACTGTTAGCAGCGCTACTAGCTACATAAACATAGCTACCGTTAGCCGCACCGGTACACCATAAGTTGTTTCATGCACAAATAAGCTTTAGACAGCTTTCTGTGTTTATTTCGACCCCACTACGTTAAGTCTGCTTTTCGTTTTTGTTGAAACGAGTTAATTCCGACTCACTGTGCAGTGTGTAAAGCCTCTCCGTCCAGTAACCTGATGTTATGGATCCGCTAGCAGCGACAACAGCTCTCAGGGTCGGAGTTTTTCAGAATAAAAGCGCCACGCTCACACAAAACTGCACAAATATCTCAAATACGCCCTCATACTTTGACACTTCTTTTGGTACACATACCACAAAGTGTATTACTGAGGGAAGCATGTTGGACCTAAAGTCAGAGTTTTGTGTCTCTCTTTTAACCTCGTGGTCACCATGGTAACTAATGCTGCACACCTAACCTGCTCCAGAGGAGACCATCATGGTCAATTTATTAGGCTTTTTAGATAAGAATTTACAACAAAACCAAAAAAAACTTTTCATAGTCTCATCAAAGGGAAAACAGATGTCTACAAAGTAATGTCAATTACAGAAGAGTACCAAAGTAAGTGATTGGGTATGCATTCCCTGTTTTCAAAGCAGTCTCAATCAGCCATGTACACATGTAACCCATTCTTCTTTGAAAAACTGCTCAAGGTTGCACATGGGATTGTAACTGAACAGTCCTTTTCAAGTCTAGCCACAAATTCTGAAATGAATTAAAGTCTGGGCTCTGACCCAGCGACACCAGAACATTCACCTTTCTGTCTTTAAACCATTTCTGTGTAGCTTCGGCAAGTCGTTGTCTTACTGTAAAACGAGGATCCTCCGGGATTTTCTTATACTTTGCTGTATTCATTTCACCCTCTACCTTCACAAGCCCGCCAGGGCCTGCTGCAGAGAAGCCACATCATGATACTGCCACCATTCGGCAGTAACCTGTACCACACAGCCACGAACAAAACCACCGTAGAGTGGAATCTCAATACCATCATTGTCGAACACTTTAATGTCTCGAACAATAGGAACAAGAATCTCATTAAAACCGTAACGTTTAAGATCTTGTGCATGAAATAAGGCACAAAGATGTATGTTGGACAAAAAAGAATTCCATTTCGGAGAGAAGTTTCTTGATGTAAAATACATATTGCACCCAATTTGTGAATACCTCGTCTGGAACCGAGAGGATTTGCAACCTCAAAGTCATCATAGAACATTTGGATCTGCACTGTGTTCTGTTCAGTGAGTCTTCAATAAAGATCCTTCACAATTATCTCTGAGTCTTGAATCACCAGTTCTTGAAGTTGTCAACATTTCTGTAATATGCTGACTTTTAAATATTGACTCCAATGTTGATAAAAAATTGGAACTATCTATCTTGAACGACTGGCTGATCATATGTTCCAGTCTTTTTATTTTGCCTGGTGTCAAATCTTGAGCCAACTACACATTCAACTGGTTCTACAGTTTCCCGCTTGTCTGACAAAAATTTTGATCGCTTGTATTCTGAATTAAGAACTGTGAAAGGATTCTCCAACTCCTCAAAACATGCTCCAACTTTCTTGCACCTTTCAGTGTCTCTTTCATTACTAAATACTTGCGTAATGACAGTTTTTTTTTTAGCATGCTGCTGGATATCTTGAACAATCTCTTCCATGGAGTTTACTACAGAATTCACTACACTTTGGCCAACACCTGCTGCCTTTAGATCAGAAATTACAGCTGCACAACTATTTACAAGGTCTGCTGAAGATAATTCCGACTCAGCCTCTAAATTTTCAGGCAGCACGTCAACATCACTTACTTGTGTCAGGAACACTTCAACAAGGTGAAAAGTTACCTTCTGCAGAATCAAATGAACTGCTTACATGGCATCTGTTCAGGTGCTTTCTAAAGCCAGAAAAGCCACCAAAAGAACGTGAGCATCCCTCTTGGCCACAATTAAGACAGAGAGTCCTGCCAGTACAGAGACCATGAATGACCTTAAAGTGCTTTACAAGGCTGCTTGGTCTACCCTGGTCACTTTTGAAAAGAAAGCACTTAATTATTTTGATCTCAGTGGATACTAACGCATCATTCTTGCTCACAACTCTGCAGCTCTGGGAGTTCCCTTTGTTTCCCCGACGTCAATGTTGTAAATAATAATAATAAGTTGTCAGACTTCCTAGTGTGACGTATCTTATATAGACAGCTGACCGGGAACTCCGACATGACGTGTCATGAGAACAGCTGACCGGGCACGACAACTTACAATGAAGCGCTCGTGCCCGGTCTCGTCTGTCCTCCGGCCACCCGTTGGTGACTGAGGATGGAATCCCAGGTGCTCAAAGGATGTGATTCCGCTCCTGGAATCCTCGTGTCCTGGACCGGGCACGAGCGGGCAAACACAAACACCAATCATCTCGTTTTCATGAGAAAGCGATTCTTGTTATCCCGAGATAACGAGAAAATTAACTCGTTATCTCGAGAAAACGGCGAAGTTGCGGGAAACGACCGCTCTCGGCTTCCGTACAGAAGTCTGATGGAGAGTTACAGAAAACACTTGATTGTAGTGATTGGCTCAAAGAGTTGTTCAACAGAATATTAGTTTATGGGTCCCATCATACTTGTTTTTTTGTTTTTGTTTTGTTTTTTTTAATATTGCTGTTGAACCACAATTCAAAAGCAATGTCATGATTTTCATTACATTTTTATTTATTCTTACTTTTGTCAATTTCAACTTGATTCAGTAACAGCTGCTTTTTTTTCTTCTCTAATGGGAGGGTATGAATACATGTGAGGACGACTGTATATACCCATTTTACTTTCATTCAAATAAGGAGAATGTGGTTTGGAGATCTCCTCAGCTTAGTGTACTCCCCAGACAGGAAGCTCTGCTCGAAGCCGCTGTACATGGTGAGCGGGATGAGGGTCAGCAGCCTCCAGTCCTTCAGGAGCCTGAATGTGGCCAGTGTGGTGTCTGGAAATGAAAGACTGAATGTGCATCAGTATTATAATGCACTGCTGTTATAGAGTGTTCTGCCACCAGAGGGCGCTGTGTTATGAGTGAGGCTGAAAAAGCAGGACTGCACGCCGGGTGAGTTAGAATGGCGATGCTGGAGCCGACACCGATTGTGCCATGTTAATAAAGC